AGCTTCTGGGTGGCCCATGCCGGCCCCTGGCCATGTGCTCACACAGGGGGTGCTGAGCCTCTTGGAGAACGGCACTGATCTCACTCACGAGGGCTGCACCCCTAAGACCTAGCTACCTCCTAATCCCATCACATGGTGGGGGGGGGGGTTAGTCTTTCAACCTATGAATTTCAGGGTGGCACAACATTCAGACCATATCCCTTGTTGAAGAAATAAACATAATTCTAGTACAATATCCAAAAGCTGTGTATATGATTTTTAAGGCTTTTGTTCCAGAGAAATTCCCTGGGATGAAGAAACATTTTATAAAGTCCATGGTTGTGTCTGATGTAACATACCTTTGCGTTTCCACACGTGGCATCAGATCAAGCGCAGGTTCTCAGGCAGTTAGAACAGTTCCTTGTCAGGAGCTGGAGGGAGAGGTTGCTAAGAGGGACGCAAAGCATCGGAGTGTCCCTCAGGCCCTGGCTGTAGTGAGAGGCCAGGCCTGTCACTCTGGGGGACATGAAAGAGACTGAGGCACACGCCTGACTTCACAGGGCCCACAGACGCTGGCGAAGGCGGGGAGCAGGCATTAAGGCCAGCCGCTACCAGTTTGAGCACCCACCCTTCACTGCACAGCACCTCCGCCAGCCCACTGTTACCGTGCCCACACCTGGCCATGGGAGACAGCGCCCACGCCCCTTCCTGCCCCGAAGCCCCAGATGCGAAGCTCATATGTGACTGGAAGCTTGGCCACGTGACACCTATGGCTTCCCTCCTCCTTTCACCCTTACGCTTTGCTACTGGGAAGCAGGGGTGCTCCCCGATGCCCCAACCCTGCAACAAGAAGGCCAGAGAGGTTTGAGGGATAGGCAGCTAAAAGGACAGGTGTTCGTCTCCCCCTCCCCTGGGGACCCCTTTCTGCCGCAGGAGCTCTAGTGCCCAGAGGCCGGGTCCCTGGAGCACCCGGGGCACGGGCCAGCCAGCCAGGCGCAGGTCGGCTCTGCTCCCGCGGACGGCGGACAGTGCTGGCCTTCGGCACCAAGGACGCACGGATGCAGCTTATTTATAGCACCCAGCTTCCTGATTCAGAGCAGACTTTCAGCTGCGAGCTCCTTTTGTTTATCGAGAAAACAGTTGATATTTATCATTCCTCTTAGCAAAAAGAGGAAGAAAAGCATTTAAACATGTAAGTGTTTCTGTGTGTATATTTTAGTACTTAGTGTTTATATGGCAGTGAATGAGTTGAGTGGGGCTGTTAGAAGAAACCCCGTTTTTGATCACCACACACCCACTCCCCTCTGGCCACTGTGACGTCACTCTTGCCTCCCTCCTCACCCCTCAGCCCGCTTCGAACATCAGTTTTGTTCTCTCCATAGCACCTGTCCTCCCCCACTTCTTCCCAGCCGTACCACCCCACACCTGGATCAGATCTTCCCCCACACCCCATCTTGCATTCAGCTCTTCTCAGCGAGCTGCTTCCTTCCCTCCCCACTCGCCCCCCCCCCCATCACCCAGGCTCTTAAAGGCACAGTGTGGCTTCTCATTGCTTGTCTGACAGCAGAGCAGTCAAGAGGGTTCTGGGGCAGATCCCGGCTCTGGCGCCCAGTGTGTGGGTCAGTGACAGGCATACCCGGGTTAACGACAACTCAGAGTCGCCTAACGACGTCCAGGTTTCTCTTGCCCACCCAGCAGAGGTCCAGTGAGAGGCTCTTACGTCTGGGCTCTGAGCTTTCTCTCCTCTGTTCAAGTGACTTCATCCTCATGCTCCTCCCTTCCTGGCACCCCATCTCCCGATCTCCCCCTGTCCTAGGCAAAAGCGAGGCCCAGGGCTGAAGCCTTCCCCTTTTCTGGAGGAGCTTCTCCCAGGGCCTGACCACCCAGCCACTTGTGCCCACGCCGGTCCAGGATCGCGTTCCACACCCACCCCAAGTTCTCAGCTAAGCCAGTGTGGTCAAATGAAGATCCAAGTTTAGCAGCTTGTACCATCCCTCGGCATAGAGTAGGAGCTTATTAACTGCTTGATACGCTCCTCGGTGTGTTTGTTAGGGCAGGTCTTCACAGTGAACCAGCTTCCATGATATTCACTGTGACTGTAAATACCATGTCAAATTCTGGAATTCTCTCCTCTCCCACCACCTTACTACTTTATCTTTGGCC